CAGGTACAGAAAACATTGTTACAAAGTCAAAATGATGTGAAAATTAAAGAGAAAAGTGCATAAAGTATATAAAAAACCTTGGACACAGTGTTTATTTAATTTACGCAGTGACAACTTCATCCCCACCACCACCCACAATGCTGGGGACAAATTTAAAATAGTTTTTCATAAAGCAGCTCGATCAAATTTTATTTTGTATGCCTGGCACAACTTAAAACGTGCAGCCCTTTCAGAACTACTTTCAATATCAAATGTTAATTTAAATATTCCCTGTGTTTCTATACATTACTCAGACTAAGTACTATAATTGTAGAAGGTTCCATCTAGAAAACAAATCTTAGCAACACCATCCCACTGATTTTTCCTACAAAAATAAAGTAACATGTCTGGACATACATTTTACATTGAAAATAAGCTGTTAATAGTCTTTAATAAAAAATATGACCTATTTCATTTTGATAAAAGAGATTAGCAATAACTGTCCAGTTTTTGCCAAGTTGTGCAATCTGTTTTCAGCAGTTGACTTAGAATTAGCTAGTGTATGATGCACAGAGATAACTGAATCAATGGCGTGGGGAACAAATATAATACTGTACACCATTCCTAAGGAATACTATTACAAAATGCAAGGTGAAGCGAGAATGCAAATCATTTTACGTTACTGTGGTTAACGCAAAATATGTAGCCTTTGTTTTGGCACATGTTCTTTATTTTTCGAAACAGAGCTGGCTACTGTTTAGAAAGGGGAACACTGCGATTAGAGGTCACTGTGGTGTAACAGAACAGTAGTGTGGTGTTCACTTGACGCACATGATTAATTATGCTCTAATCTTGTAGAGAAACCATAAATTTCACCGTTAGAGTGATAAGTCTATAAAGAAGTATTCTTGGTCGTATATTCTAAATAATCACACCCTGCTATACTCTAAGCCACCTTCACTAAGTGTGTTTAAAATTGACTTGGAGGAATTACACATACAGTAACAGAGAACAATCTTTGAACATATTTAAGTATGTTAACATTTATCGTGTGTGAATGTCTGCATATGTAACAGTGCAGAACATGAATGAACACATGTAATGCTGAAGACATCACCTTCAGGTCTAAACACAGGATTTCCAATCACATACAGTACATAAACACCACTTCATTCACTCATGTGTTCACTAGTTCACTAGTGATTTTATCCAAGGCAACTCAGTTGCTGCTTCTTTTGATGTTTTTAAAGTTTGCCTTAAAACTAATGCTTTTGATCCCTTTAATTCTTCATCTATTTTACTTTTTAATTTCTCAGTTATATCTGGTTTATTGTATATTCTGTATACTGTACTGATTTTATGTTTAATTTTATATTTTAATTTATGCAATGTGCCCAGAAAAAGGAGCTACATAAGAATAAAATGAAACTCACAAGGGTTGCAAGAAGAATGTTGCCTCTGTGTTAATGCAAATGCAATATTTTAAAATGATATTTCAAACCGTTACATTCAATATAAAATAGTACACCTACAGTATGCTGCAGTGTTTTTTGCTCTTAACAGGAAAATACACAGTATATTAATAGATTTCTCCCTATGGGATTCTCATTATACAGAATGCAAAACGTGTTAATTAAGCAATATTCACTGTTCAACGTCAAAAAGGAGAGATGCCTCTAGCTTAAGTTTTAAACTGAACCTCCTCTTTTTGATACCTGCTACAGAGCAATCAGTTCTTGCCCCCTGCATACAAACTCATCCAAATGACAAACTCCATACAAACAAAACAAAACCAACGTCAGCACATTTTACAAATTGCTTTGGTATTCGAAGGAAGGTAAGTTACAGGTACACGGGTAGTTCTTGCTACACTTCTGGAGCACACTGCTGGGGAAGGAAACATGTTTCCGCACTCCTGTTTCATCCTGCAGCAGATTCCTACCCAACTTCCTCACTGAGCGGCGGTCCTCCTGGCGTTTTTAATTGACACGACAGCAGAACGCACATGAAGAAGGGCATGTTTCCACAGTGCAGCCCGCAGACCACTCGAGTCTTAAACTTCAAGAGATGCTTTCCAGTGCCCTCGTTCTTAAGAAAGCAAGCGTGTGTGACACAAAACCAGAAAGAAGATCAAACAAGGGGCTTTGTAATGCCAGAATGGCTTCAATAAGGAAGCCATGTGAAAGGAAAAAAAAACAGGTCATTAAGATATCCACCTCATTACTTAGATATGAAAAGTGTAAATTGATAACAGTTTCAGAACACGCTCAGCAGCAGCATGCCTTGAAAAGAAAAGCAAATAAAGCTGTATGAGAACAACGGAGCGAGACCATGGCAATTCTCACTCTGCTATCATCCCAGAGGATGGGCCGCGCTGGCCAATGAAAGGAGCAAAACGCTTAATCAGGATCACATGCATAAAACGGCATGACTTTTCTGCCTACTGCTGGTGCTGGTAGTGAAAATCTGCTTTGGAAATAGTGCCACACACTAACATTCAAGCCTGCCTTGTTCTTTCCCTTTCGACAAGTAATCTCTTGCATATCTGTTGGGTCACAACAGCACAGTTCCTATGTTCCTATGTGAAACCAAGATACCGCCTTTAAAGACTCCAATAAATATGTGGACAACCTGCATTAGAAGCCATGTACTCACTTTATTACGTTTTATGTTTAATAAACATATGATGTAGCCTACTTATTAACTGCACCTTTTTAAATTTTATTAAACAGTTATTCATCCTAACATATATACAGTACAGTACATTCTATCTGATTTAACGGAGCTGAGACATGATGTCTCAGTTTGCAATCGGAGTTCAATAAATTAAGAAAGTTTGCTGTTTAGTAATATGTTTAGTTTTACATTTATAAAACCCTATTACTGGATTATACTGATTCCAATGAAGGGTGTATACTGTATATACCATGATAGAAGAATCGTTTTTTTAAGATCAACCAAAGACTAAACTTGTTCAAATACCTACGAACACAAGCGAAACAGAAATGCAGTATTGTCAAAACAGTTTAAAAAATGAAAACAGAGGGGTCTGAGGTAATAAAGTGGGAGACATGCAAATGAAAAGGCAAGGTTATCCTCCGAGTATGAAGTAAATCAAGGGAGCTGAAGGCCGAGTGATGCAGCTAAGTTGTTTTAGGAATCCTTTCTAACTAAAATGACTCCCCATAAATATTTTAGTTGGGCCAGTTCTGAGTATGCAGAATGGCAGCCCTTCATTCCTTAAAGGAGTGAAGTCATTTATCACTGCTTCCTCTCATCTGCTGTGTAGTGGGACTACAACACCTGGCACGAGTCACGAGTCAGGAGTTGTACTTTAGTGGTAAACTGGCCCCTCTCCTGGATGCAGTATGCTTTGCGATCAAACGTTACCATGCCAGTAGTACTTTCAATAATTACACAAAACCGAGGCCACAAGCGGAAATTACTTGGAAGTGCAGTTCAAACCAAGAACAGGAGGCACTTCTTCACTCAAAGGGCTGCAGTGGAATGCAGAAAACGATCCCACCATGTTGTTGAAGCTGACACAGTAGTTTCTTGTAGGAAATCAGAATATGAGAATCTCAGGCCAATTACCTCGTATCTGCCAAACAGGCTACATGGGTCGAATGGCCTCTCTCGTTTGTAACTGTTCCTATGTGGTTCTTCTTATTATTAATACAAAATGAAAATAAAACATTGTCCTTTCAATGGGTAATTTATTATCTCTATTGTTATCTTAGCTTAACTTTAGTGCAATTAACAAATTGTGGGAACAGGCGAAGGAACCTAATTGGTGTAATAAAGCAGTACATCAATTTACATTGTATGTCTAACGCTGGCGGATGCACTTCATTCATGTTTCTTAGACAACAGAAGGGTGTTCGTTTCAAGTTCAAAACGTTGTAGCATTAGGCATAAAATAATATTTGAAAATGTGCAACATTTTAATAGTGTACAAAGATGATCTTTTGTAGTGCAATTTGTGTAATTCTCAACAGAATGGTGACAGCCATTCTGCTTACAATAAACTAATCTTCACCAACAGGTAGTTTATTGTGGTATTCTGACACACTTAATACACTCTCCGGATCAGCAGACAGAATTTCTACAGCAAGGATGGGATAAACTGTTAAGAGCCACACATTGCAACCACACATAGATAATTGGTTGTACTGGAAACTGAAACATGCTTCACATTCTGGATTAATCAAAGAGGAGCAGGCGAGGCCAAAACGTGAGACTGTTTTTCCAGTCTTACTGAAATCTTTTTTGGTTAAAGTTTGCTATTCTTAATGCACTGCATATCATGGAACATATGTTTTATCTGTTTCATTTGACAGATACCGGATTAAAATAATTGCTATAGCTATTTTACCAGGATGTTAATATTTTTTGACTAATCCAAATTCAGCTTGGATACTTTCCAACATTTTTCCCCAACAGTGACCAATGGTAATACAAAGTTAATTAATGGCATTCATTTTCCTTACTTTTACATGCATATCATACTTAAAATAGGCTGTTTCACTTTTCTCTCTAGTCACATTTTTCAACAGAGCTAGTTTAGACAATAAACCTAGCCCTGCCTTTTCAATTTTCCACATTTATAATGACATTTTGCAAGTATCCTCTGAAATTCATTAAGCAACAGTTATTTTACTTTTTATGTTGACAAAGCCATAAAGACCAAAAGCAACACTTCAAACAACTTTAAAACTTTAGAGGAAACGAGCAAATTCATTTTTAATAAAATCAGGACAGTCAGCTTCTAATTAAGATAGTGTCCTTCACAATACAGAAAAAATAAAGCACAATATAATTTATTGCTAAGACCTAGATAAAAAGTAAACTACAGTACTTGTGAGTTCTAGTACCAAATACTAGTGCCAAAGCACAGTTTGTTAACAATTGCCAGATGATTATAAACAACTGCTTTCCTTGTACATTTTTAGAAAGACAGGGGAACACTTCAGAAACAGTGTTTTGAGGCATGAGAAAACAATATTAAGGATTGAACTTACTTCCAAGAGAAAAAGAATGGAGTCCAGCTCCTCCCTTTGTGATTTGTTCCCTGAAATAAAACACAGGCAGGCACGGCATGTTGAGAAGGACAAGTGGAAAATAAGCACAGTCCATTCCACATAGAACACACTCATTGTCTTGACATGAGCCTACTCCATCATTCTTTCTCTTAAAAATATGGGTTCATCTGAAAGCATGAGTAATATCAAACTTGCACTTGCTATTCCTCACAGAATGAAACCACAATCAAGAACATTTATCGGGAATTACCTATCATTATAATAAGTATAAGCCATCATTGTATTTTATAACCAATATGAACATATACTTTAAATGACTACGGCATTTGTCATTCACTTCATTTACTTGTTGATGAGGTTAAATATACTTAAGTTTCATCCAAGACAAATGAGTTAAATCACTTTAAAAATCTCTCCATCACATGAACGAAGAATGGCACAGGACATCAGAAAATACCTAAAGGGCTTCTGTCAGCTCAGACAGACCCAGTCTCATTAACACTGACATGAACCTTACCTTTTTGTTTTAAGTTACTTTCCAGTGTAATGAAATTTTCATAGAAGATAAAATAGATTTGAGAGCAGTTGTTTTCAAAGAATGCTTTCAGCTCCCCCCTTTCAAGAATATCTGCAAAAAAATATAACATTAAGAACACTAAGTGAGGATGATCACCAGCAAAAGTACAAAAGATCACAAAAAAATTAAACAGATGACAAAATCAATACAACGTAGTGCCAAAAATGTCTTGAGTCACAAGAATTTGACAGTTGAGTAATAGCTACGTTTCCACAGCACAGTGTCTTGAGCTGAAACTCAAGGTGGTACAAGGGCGGTGTGGTGGCTCTGTGCCTAAGGATCTGCGTCTGTGGCAGAAAGGTTGCCGGTTCATATCCCGCGGCCGGCAGAGGAATCCTACTCCGTTGGGTCCCTTAGCAAGGCCCTTAACCCCAACTGCTCCAGGGGAGCTGTATAAATGGTGATCCTGTGCTCTGACTCCAAGCTTCTCTCCCTCTCTGTGTTTTATGGAGAGCAAGTTGGGATATGTGAAAAATACAAAATACCTAAAACAAGAAATTGTATATGGCCAATATAGTGATCTGATCTTATCTTGCTACTGTACCCCTGAGCAAAGTGCTTCTGTAAACACATTGCTGTATAAACAGATCTGCAGGCTGTCATTTCAAATTCAATTGAAAATTTGTTCTCAATCAACTTAGTGGTTTCAAAAAGGACTAAAGAAATCACAGACAATACATTTGTTTTAACCTAACTATTTCTGAAAAAAGAAGAGATGGGCTTCAGGATCACCAAAACGTGAAAGAACGATTCAACTGCTTGATAAACCTGTTTTATTGAAGGTCTACCATTCCGGAACCTTTTGCAACACTTGTGATTCATTCTTACGCAAAACAATAGAAACCTTACTATTCCCTTGACCGTAAACATCCGAGACACACTGAATATTGCAGATAACAGTATTCACAATACATGAGAATTGGGGATGGTTTTACTATACATGAGAATGTTGGGGGATTTTTTCAGTTTATGATGTGGATTTTTGTAAAAGCATGAAGTAGGACTAAAATCAACAAAATATACATCCTGAAAGTGAAAGGGTTGGAATCATACCATTCTCAGACAGACCATAGTAAGGGCAACAAAGTTCAATGTAAGCGATGGAAGTATAACAAGAGTCTTTTTAATCAGCACCACAATATTATGCAGTGTTCAAAAATACATGGGCAATTAGCATATTGCTCCTACCGCATTCAAATCCTCCGGAGTCTACTTGGCAACTACTGTTAAATGTTGTGCCTCTGGCTGTGTTACACACTCCAACAGATCAGAACAACAGATGTTTCTCTGTTGTTAAAATCTAGGGCAGATTCTCATTTAGTTAAGACATTTTACCTTCTCAAATCCAACTGTGTGAAGTTAAGCAGTAGAAATATTAACCATCAGCAAATTCTCCATAAATAAAATCAACATTTAACAACAACTGATGTATATTCCCTCACCCATTTTTCCCTTTTCCTACAGTATACCACCTAATGATATACTGTAGATTAAAAATATCTCTTTTATCTTGTAAATAAGGCACATTCTGACAAATTCATCTTTCAAAAAAAAAAGTTTTCTTATTGCATAAATAATAATAATTGCTTACACTTATGAAGCGCTTTTCTGGAAACTCCACTCAAAGTGGTTTACAGGTAATAGGGACTCCCCTATACATGGATGATGCGACGGCAGCCATAGTGCGCCAGAACGCTCACCACACACCAGCTATCAGTGGGGAGGAGAGCAGAGTAATGAGGCCAGTTCATAGATGGGGATTATTAGGAGGCCATGATTGGTAAGGGCCAATGGGAAATTTGGCCAGGATGCCAGGGTTACACCCCTACTCTTTTCGAGAAACACCCTGGGATTTTTAATAACCACAGAGAGTCAGGACCTCGGTTTTACGTCTCATCCGAAGGACGGCGCCTGTTTACAGTATAGTGTCCCCGTCACACCTGCTGAGCTTCAGTGGGTTGCCAGTTGTGAGTTGCAGAGTGATATGGCTCTGCATAAAGTACTCTAGACAACAGGTGAAATCTCATTCAGCCAGGGTTAGACAACTGACCTGCTGAAGCAGCATTGATCGTATTTTCCCTGTTTTTCTAACAAAATGTTTTACCTGTAATCACAGTCATGAAATATCAGGTTATAAAAATATTCAGCAAAACCGAAGACAAATTTTCTAACCAAAGCCAATCAAAAAAGCCCCATCTCAGCTATTCAAAATTAAGCACAGTATAGTGACAAATCACAGAGAAAAAAAAAACATGTAAAAAGTGGTTGCCTACAGGTTAATATCACTAACCGAGAGGTAAAAAACGTTTGGCTAACTATGTCTGTCATATATAATAATGTTATTAACTATAATGGACAACTACTCTATTAACTCGAATCGCAGGTAAAATTTGAGGCACATGAGATCTCGATATTCTGACATAAATCAAGTGACAGTATTATTCAGAGACAGATTTGACAAAACATTACATGACATACGCACTATCATAGGTAGAAGTCAATGCATTATAGAGGCGTACTGTACATGCTACCCAGAAGCACAAAATGCTAGCCCTGTAAACTGAAATCACTATGGAACAGGTTAACAGGCCACAAAGAGGACAGTCTCGCATCCTAATAAAATAATACAACTCAGAACTTAATCTCCTTTCCCACAACATGGATTCCCAAAAGGAATCACCCTAAATCTAAAAATGCATCACCCAACTAGCAGAGAACATTTTTAGTCTAATAATTCCACTATACAGGAAATCAGAATTTCCTCAAATAGGATAGCAAGCCCTCTGTAATATTCAGATTACTTAGGCAGAATCTGGTCTCCAAGACCTCTCACATGGCACAAACACAGAGAAAGAGAAGGATGATTATGTCCCTCCTTCTTTATGCGTTTTCTTTGTATCCGTTTCACTCTACCCTCTGTCTTCATAACTTCACTTGTCTTCTTCCCTCTCTGTTTTTATGCTGCGTTCTATGGCTGTTGGAGGCTCTGATTAACTTAATTGACCAGAGTACACCACCAGAAACCTCAGCTGCAGCTACAGTATGCAAACCTCAAACCATACCTACAGTAACGTTCTAGGCTCTCTGAATAAGGCCTTGAATTGTGCGATCAGAATGTGAACTGCAAACGTGACCGACTTCATGGTCAACTGGATCATAACACTATAAAGAATATTCTATTATTAATTTACTGTAACTGGGTAGGTCATCGTAAACAAATTCCCCCTTGCAACGGGGGAATTTACTGGGGCAATTTAATTATAGCTCAAGAGTATACCAGTGGTAACAGAGGCACTAAACAATAAAAAAATACTAACAGAATATTAAAAAGATTACAATGAATTCCACCACTCTAGCTTGTTTGGTAGCTAATTAATCATAGATCACCTCCAGTCTGTTTCTCAAGAGAAACCTGGGTAGCAGCTTCAACAACATGGCCTGGTACAGTATCTTGTTCCATACTCCCCAAACCCTTCTAGATTATAAATCCATTCATATGTAGTTTCCACATGTGACCTCTGGTTCATGCATCACTGTTCAATCTGAACAATTTCCAATGAAATGCACAAAACTCTCTAAAGCAGGAGTAACTTGTGTTACTTGTCTTATCAAGATACGTAGCTTTTGATACAAAGCATTGACTCTTGTCCGTAAGAAGGACAGGGTTGTCACCTTAACAAAACACCAATGGAACATTCAACACCCAAGCAGCTCATTCAATAACTCTGTACAGATGGGCTAACCTTTCATGAGACCCTATAGCATGAACTTGCAAAAGACAAACTTATTAAACCTCCATGCACTTTACTTGCATGAAATTCTGGCAGCAACCTGCATCAGATTACAAAAAGGGCACTTGGTTTATATGCGGTGCTCTGCATATACAGGCTATCTATGCACTTAGCTTTTTCAGGGTCTATGACAGGCAGTCAGAGTGAGTTTCTGTGTAAGAGGAGCTTAAGGTCATTACGTCCCAGATATTTGATATCCAAGCTCTTCTTCATTAATTGTACAGTGTCTCCTCACCTGACCTGTCTTTGCAGGTGTCCAAGGTGAGAGGGCGAAAACAGCACACACAGGGCACAGGGGTCCCCGAGCCAGCCAGAGATCTAAACCGCTGACGACGAGAGCCGGGGGGATAAAAGCAGAGGACCAACTGTACAAGTGACCTGACGACAAGCCAAAAGGACTGCCAAAGAACAGCCTGGGAAGCTTCTCCGTGGCTGAAAAATATTTTTTCCCGTCACTAATTTAGTTCCCACTGCAAATACATTTTACTTTTGGAACGGCTGAGCTGTTTTGTGTTTACTACATAAAGGGCATGACTGCACTACGACTAGGAAGACCTGCTCTGTGCCCGGCCTGTAAAAGTCACGCCACACCATTAATTCACTTTTTGGGAAGCAAGTTAATTAAAATGCTTTCAGTTTTATGCTTTCAACAGATAAAAGCTGCCAATTCATACAATATCAGAACGTGGGTTACCCTGGTGAGGGTGACAGAAATCTGAAGTCGACTCTAGAAGCCGGACAGAGTACACGACCCCCTGCTCTCATCCTGCACCTGGCCCATCGCCAGGCCACACAGAGATGGATGACGTCAGACCAGCGCACACGTCTTTGCCCAAAGTAGATATCTTTATCACAGTGCGTTTAAGGTCATATTTCAAACACAGTACCTTCCACTCACTTCAAGTATTACAGGACCTATTTACAACCCTGTGTTTATCTTATTGTTTCCCTCTTGAAAAATGTAATATCACTAGTGTCCTGAAGTTTACACCTCGAATTTCCACTTTCTTTATGCGTTACTCACATTTTGTGGAACTTTTCTGTGTTCCCGGCGGGCGATTGTGATTATTATTCACAGATACAGTATGGAAATAAGTTAATTAACTTCAAAACACCTCAACTTTAAAATGTTAAGGTAGTAAAAGAAGCACAAATGAAATGCCACAGTCTTCTGTCATACTGCACTCAATGTCAGTGTCATGGTGGGACATAAGCTCGAAGAACAAAATCTGAAGAGCCTATAACTCATGATATAGCCTA